GCATTCCTGGGGTTTCTGTTTGACCTAAAAACCTATAATCCTGAGAAACACCGGAGTGGGTGGTTCTTACAGACACTCAGAAAAGGAAATGACCAGGCAGAAAGGAACTTGAACCGGCTGTTAGGCTGATAACAATCTGTTTAGTTGAAAAACAGCTATTTTATTGACCCACAATGGCTTCTGATTTCCTACTTACATCCCCTGCTGTTTACAATAGCCTGCCAGGCCACCTGAATACAATGACTTCTTTAAAACAGTTCTTGAAAACTTGTCTCCTTGCCAGGAGGGTTTTGTGTTTTTTTTTAAAACCCCCATTTGTTTTTTTATTTTATTTTTGGTTTTAAACATTTTATGCTAGGGTGTGAAGACAAGATATTTTATCTAAATTATTTTGACTTCCCTGAAAATTATGTTCTCTACTGAAAAGTCTGAGTGTACCAACATGACATTAAGAAGCTAAGTCTTCCTTTATTCATGTTTTTTTAAGTTTATTTCTTTCTCCCATGAGACAGAGACAGGAAGACAGACACCTCCAACAGGGCCCTCACGTCACAATCCACCCCAGCATCATTAGGCCTTGAACCCAAGATCTTCCTTTGTGGGTCCAGTTGTGTCACCTCTGCAGCACTATCTGGTCTGGCCCCTAATACAAATTCTTTAGAAAAAGTGAGAGTGGGGCCAGGAGGTGGTTTGGTGTTCAAAGTGCTGGACTCCCATATGGTCGAACACAGTTCAAGTCCCAAACCTGGAAGTTTGGAAATCACTCCAGCCATGTGTGCATGTGGGCCCAAAATCCCAGGAAGAGGATGAAAGAGAAGGGTTACAGTGTAGCCATTCCTCCTGGGGGCGGGGTTGATTTTTCAATTTCCCTCTCACTATCTCCTTCTCTTTCTCTGATGAGCACACAATTTAAAAAAAAGAGAGCGAAGGAAAAAAAAAGAAAAAGTGAGAGCATCCTAAAGTCAGTTATGAATATAGTTCTTTTCTATTGAGGATCTACTATGTTCCAGTCATAAACGGACTGGTATAATTATATAAATTCACTGAATCTACAACAAACCTATGAAAAACAGGTTATTATTGCCAAATTACTGAACTGAGTCATGGAAAAGTGAAGTAATTCGCCCAAGTTCTCAGAGCTGAAAAGTGTCTAGTGGAAGATTTGAACCCATAAACATAAAGGCCCCAGGCCTTCTGTGGCTCAGAAATCTCAGTCCATATTTTCTTCCTGAAGTTAAGGAAAGAATGCCAAAACAAGTTTAGCAGTAGAGGACGCACTCTGCTGGAGGCTCTTGTGCCATTGAATCTTAAATGGAATGATCTTAAACAAAAATGTTATGAGACTTTAAACATTAATCCCCTCTTGTGTCCTAAATATCAATTTGAAAATTGCTTCTATTCTGATAACTCTGCTTCTAAATGAGTATAGACAGGCACATTTTTGAAATGTAATTTTTGTTTTGAGAGATTTTTGCTATAGGGATGTGCACTCGCCAAAGAGACAGAGAGAGACAGAAAAGGAGAAGTCATCCCCCCCACCCCAGGAGGGGCATGTGACAATTCCTTCTCCATTCTTCTCTTGGGATTTTGGGCATGTACACATGCCTGGCGTGAGTTTCAAATGACTACATCCAGGACTCGAACTGTGTTTGACCATGTGGGAGTCCAGTACCTTAATCACTACACAACTACTGACCCCGGAAATATAATTCTTAAAGAAGCAATTTTCTAATGCTTATAATAGAACACAGTGTGACTTAATTTTTGTAAATTAAAAATATTTTTTTAATTGCCAGAGAGCATGAGCACTTACAGGAGGGGGGGGGGAAGAGAAAGCACCCCATAATGAGGTGTGGTCACATCACAATCCTTTCTCTTTTTGAATACATACACATGTACCTGGAGTGGTTTTCAAACTTTTGGGGTCAGGATTCAAACCATGGTTGGCCATGTGAGATCTGGTTCCCTTTACCACTAGGCTATGGGACCAGCTCTTGTGAGGAGAAATAACGTCAGCAGCCCCCTTGCATATGACCACTGAGAAGATTTTTACACCAGCTTAAGCATTGCAAAGCCAAGCCCAGACCTTCATTGCTTCTAAACCAGGATCTAAGAGTTGTCTTGACTGACTCCACTTTTGCTTCTGCTGCCTTGTTAGTCACTGTTTATCTTCAAGCTCCTTACAGAGAACTGAAATCCACCATTCCATCTTGCATGCCCAGAACAAAAATTGCTCCTCAGGACCAGCAGGTGGCATGGTGGTTGGGACACTGGACTCCCACATGGTCAACCATGGTTCAAGTCCCAGACCTGGAGGCTTGTTTTCTCACTTTCCCTCTCTGTCTCTATCTCTCTGTGTCTCTCTCTAGTGAGCACACAAGTCCTATAGTAAATTAAATAATAATAATAAATCAAATTAGATAGATAATGTTTAAAAAAAGAAAAACCTGCCTATCAAACAGTGATTGCCATCCTGAGGCTAGCAGAAGTCCTCAAGATTCTACTTAAAGACAATGCCAATTCTCCTCATTTACTTTGCCCCAAAACAGTCAACAACTTACCCTTTGCTTCTAAGTGTATGGTCACACTGAAACCTTCTCCTATACACATTTTGTTTGTTGTCCACTACAGAGGAGATAGTATGAATGGTGGTCTAGTCTCTCCCCAATGTTGATCTCACTGAATACATTCCTTTATTTACCAACTCTGGTCCTCGGGGCTGACTTTTGTTGAATCACAAGTGACACAGACCTGATTTCATGTCCTTGTGTCCTTTCCAGCCTCAATATAACTTACTCTAACTTACATTTCATGTTAATAGTGTAACTGGCCAAATTTAAAGTCAGATACTATTCTCCAAGGAAAGAAATTATTTGTATTCAGGTTTTCTTTCTAATTCTACACTGTAATTCTATTCATTTAAATTCCGTAATTCCTATACTTTCTGCATTGGAAAAATATGTAAATATAGTTTATAACAGATGAAGTGTTTTTTAATTACCATGCTCAACTCAGTAATTAAATTCATTTTGCTTCAAGGTTCAAAAATATCAATAGAGTTTCTTAAAGGTCTTATAGCCCTCAACTTTTTTTTAAACTCTTAATTCATGTCACACATTGGCATTTGAAGGCAGTGACTTCTTCACCCTTCAATATAACCCCGTTCATTTCCTCTGTCTTTCCATTTACAGAGTTGGCTATACTTGGTACTTTAGGCAAAACTATGGTTTCTTTAATAGCCTTTGAAATTCTAGAAATATCTCAAGATTCAAGAAGAAAAATTATATCCATGAAACAAAGATTAACTCACGACATTTTGTGTAAGGCAAGTGTTTAAGCTCTTAGGTAGAAAAATATTTTGCTTCTTAATATGATATTTTAATCTTCCATTCAATGTGGAAAACATACTTTTTTCCTCATGGGGTTGTCATTTCTGTCAGGACTGAAAAGATTCCATTAATTTGTTGGCAATCAAAGTGCCAAGAAACCAGGGGCAAAAGAAGAGCTACCACCAGACTCTTTTCTGATTATCTCTGTGGTTACTTGACCAAGAACAGGGAAATACTGACCCTCCCCATACCTGCTTCCTCTGCCTGTCATCCCCCACACCTCACCACAGGCAAGCTCCTCAGCTGTGCTCCTGACATTTTATTTTTACACACTGTTTCTGTTGAAGACACAGACTGAAATACTGAGGGAAGCCATCCGCTTTCCCTCTCCCTTCCTGGACAGCTGACGCTCACTACCCTAGCTGAGTTTTCATAAGCTTGCAAAGACGCCCAGGTTTCTGTCAGTCACCAGCTCCCTGATGGCAGCAGCGAGTCCGCTCCTGGCAGCACAGTGGAGGAGGCTGTGACAGGTAGTACCAAAACACGAAGAAAGCAGCTAATCCCAGGACTTACTGCAAGCTGAGGACATCCTCGGGGACTGGTCCCTCCGGAAGTTTCATAAACAGTGCGATACATTAAAATCCAAAGATTCCCACCCCGGGAAAACTTGGAGAAAAGAGCTTTTTGTCTTTGCTTTTTCTCTTCATTTAAAAAACAGAATTATTTATTTAATTTTATTTATTATAATTACTATTTTTTTTTTTTATTTCACCAGAGAGAAAGGGAAAGCAAACTTCCAGGTCCAAGACTTGAACTGTGGTCGACCATGTGGGAATTCAGTGCTTCAACCACTATCCCACCCACTGGCCTCTTCTTTTATTTATTTATTTTTTTTATGCTAGAGGGTGCATGTGCTTGCCAGACAGTGACAGAGAGAGAAGGAAAGCAAGAAAGCACCCCTTGTGAGGCGTGGCCGTGCCACAATCACGTCTCCATTTCTCCCTCCTTTCAGGATTTTAGGAAAACATGCATGTGCATGCAGTGTGTTTTTTGAGCTACTGGGTTCGGAACTCTAACCATATAGCCAGCCATGTGGGACCCAACCTCCTTAACCATCGTGCCACCAGCTGGTCCTCTTTTACTACTTAACTTACGAAATATAAGTCACACTGAGAGCCAGGGCCAAGCCAGGAGCAGAGGATAGTAGTGGTCACCATGATCCACTCCTGAGAAGGGCTTCAAATAATGCCATCAGTGGCATGAAAAAGGGCACTAAAAACTGCTTGGAGACCCTTAGGAAGAGTT